TATTTCCAATTTTTGAAGGTCAATTGTAGCAGTTTAACATGGATCATATCTTGGGATAAGGATATAAAATTGTGTGTTTTATATGCCATTGTTCACTTGGTGCATTTACTTAAACATATATATATTTAAATATTTATATTTTTACTTTTTCATAAATGTTATCAAAAGGACCAGTAGGTGCAAGTGTAATTTTCTTGTATATTTTGATATAGTTTTTTGCATTTTATAAATGTGTTTTAATTTTCAGGCTTAATGTGATGTTTTAAATAATAGTAGCTACTGCATATTTCAGTGCCAACAAGTTTGTTGTGTGTGTATTTGGAATTTTCCTAAAGGGCAAAATAAGTGTGTGTGTGTGTGTGTCTGTGTCTGTGTGTGTGTGTCTGTGTGTGTGTGTCTGTGTATGTGTCTATGTGTCTGTGTGTGTCTGTGTATGTATGTGTCTGTGTGTGTGTGTCTGTGTGTATATGTATGTATGTAAATATACATCCATTTTATAGATGAATATTCATGGGTACTGGAAGAATAATACTCTTGACCAAAACCAGATATCTTAGCTTATAATCTGGAATGCTCAATGAATGAGTCACACTGTTAACATGGGATTAAAACTTTTTGTACGTAGCATTATTTTCTTTTCCTATTTTATAAAAAACATGGTGAATATATAATAATTTCACTTCTTTACAGTGTGAGTGGGGACTGTGTAATTAGTCCTATTTTCAGTGTCAGTTCAGAGCAGGAAGCAGCTATGGAATTATCCTGTATGTTTGTTGTGACCTAAACACTGTACAGAATGTATGGTGTTCTACATCTGTACAAAACACACACAATTAGAAATTTTTTTAACATTGTCCTTTTTACTCCCAAACTACTGTTTTGTTTTTTTTTAATTCCAAATGCCACCATGATACAGGATTTGCAGAGAATCTTCAGGCAATCTTTAGTTTTGTAATTTCTGGAAAAAAAATAAGAACAAGCTGCTCTCCATGTAAAAACATGCCTCACTTAAAGAAAAGATCTGGAGAAGTCTGCTTAGTTAATATCAACAAAATGTTTTGCCAAAAGAAAAGACCTGAGCAGCCCTCCCCTGGATTTGTTTGGTCTTAACTCCATAGATGATGGGGTCGAGAGTGGGTGGTACCACCACATAGAGGTTCACAAAGAGGATGTGCACATGGAGAGGAATGCTGTGCTCCCCAAAACGGTGAGCAAAGAAGGTAAAGAGGGATGGTGTGTAGAATAGGAGAATGACACAGACATGGGAGCCACAGGTACGCAGAGCCTTGAGTGGAGCATCCCAGGAAAGAATTCTAAATACGGCAGGAAGGATGAGCATGTACGAGACCCTGATGAGCAGCACGTCTAGGCCTATAGAAAATAGAGGCAGTGTCATTCCATAGTAAATGTTGACTTTGATGCTGTCACAGGCCAGCCTGGCAATGCCCATGTGCTCACAGTATAAGTGTTGAATGATGTTCCTCCCACAGTACGTGAGCTGATAAATAAGAAAGGCCAAAGGGAAGCAGATGAAGAAGCTCCTAGTCACAGAGGCAATGCCCATTTTTCCAATGACAGATGGAGTTAGAATGGTGGTATATTTTAGGGGATAGCAGATGGCCACATAATGGTCAAATGCCATGGCCAGCAATATGGCAGACTCTTCCACAAACATAAAGTGGAGAAAAAACATTTGAGAAACACAACTAGCAAAAGAAATGCTTCCAGCTTTGAGCCAAAAGATGGCAAGCACTTTTGGAGCCGTCACTGTGGAGAGAACAATATCAGCCATGGCCAGCATGGAGAGGAAAAGGTACATGGGTTCATGAAGACTGTGTTCAGTGACAATCAGGAATATCAAGAGTGTATTCCCTGTAATGGCCACTATGTACATGGAATAGATGGGGATGGAGAGCCATATGTGTACATCTTCCAGTCCCAGGATCCCAATCATGGTGTACCAGATGTCTCTGAGGTTGGTATGATTTGAAGAGGATGCCATCTTTTTCTGCCCTCTAATACTGAAGCTTGGAATTTAAGAAAAAAGGGAACATAAAGTACATTAATTTTATCAGGTTAAAAATGACCCTTGCTCTCTGTTGAACTTACTGCATTAATAATGGATTGCCAATCACTCATGATGCAAAGATAGTAAGCTAGATATGCTTTATTAGCAACAAAAAACTAAGATCTTACAAAGATTTATTTTGTAATAATAGCAACAAACTTTAAGAGGGTTTGAAGTGAGGTGTACATACTATGCTAAGCTTCTTAGTGTCTTAACATCTAACATGAAAATCTGTAAGGTTTTGAATATCATAGATCTTTATGCTTGGTTGGTCATTTATGATTCTTAGTAATAATATTCTTTTCTGGAGTTATAGAATTGTACTTGTCAGAGTAGTCTTATTGTCTTTTGAGGGGTACAAGACTACTTAAAGAAATGTTAACTTTTATAAATCAGTTATGCTTTTCCTTTCTAGAGTAATTTATTCTGAGAACATAGTGCAAATACAAGGAGTCCTTGCTTTGCACAACCTTAAATTAACTAAATATTGTGACCCTGCAGCTGTTCTCTATTTCTGCCCAGTCACCTTCCAGAGCTGTCTCAGCTCAACCAACACTAACGAGCTTGAGTATTCACTTACCAGTTTTGTAATCTGGGTACGCTGTTCCTCTATTTTCCACACACATTACTTTCCTTCCCCAGATTCCTACCTATTCTGATTCTTTTCCTCCCTTTTATGCCTTCTAGTTTTTGTTTAAATCTTTAGCTTTCTCTTCTCTTCTTTATTTCACTTTCTGATCAAATGTAAACATTATTGGAGAAAGAAAAAGTATCTAACAGAAAAAAAGTAAAATAAACGAGTTGCAAACAAATAAAAAAGAAAGAAATTATTGGTCCTCTAATTTTACTCTAGGATCATATTATGGTAAAGAAATAATGAAACATAAATAATAAATTTGTTATCCTTCAGGGATCTTTCTGTTTGGAAGGACCTAAACACATGGATATAAACAAACACCCTTCAAACTGGGTCAAGATAGGAAAAGGAGGATGTATTCATTTACATGTGCACAACAGCATACTCCAGATATTGTTTTTGTCAAGGGGAATGACAAAAAGATTCATGGTCATGTTCTTATTTAATTTATTTGTTTGACAACCTTTGGCTTACTAGTGAAAGCGGGTTCTTGGAAAAAACAACAGACTGGTGCCAAAGGCATACATCAAGAATGCACATCACTATTGGCAGGACATTCAGTATATTGAGGACTTTGAAACATGACAAACAGCTAGACAGGTGGATGGTGGCCTTCAACATTCACATGAGGTATGGAATTTCAAGGTTTTTCGTTTAGTTTTCTATACTAAGAATAATATTATTTTAAAATGCTGTGTTTCTTATATTTAGAATTTTAAAGAAATTCATATTCTAATATGAAAGATATGTTCCATTATCTCACACAAGACTTTTCTAAAAGCTTTTATTTGCCTTCCAATTATATGCTGATGTAATTCCTAAAGGTTTTATTCTTTACCAATAAATCTTAAACTCTGTGATGTCTATGAGCATGTAACATAATTTTCCTTTTCTTTTTTGAAGGAAAAATGGTTGAAGAGAATAAAGATACAGTGACTAGTGTTTCCTCATTGCTAAGCAGAGTTGCTGGAAAGGCAAGACAGAACCAGAAACCTGGCCTTTTCCCTGAAAATGGTTAGAGAAGAACTGGAACACTTACATAAACCATGAAATAATTACATTAATGTGAAAGATTAACTAGTCATGAATAAAAGGTAATGCATTGTTTCAGCAAATATTTGTCTAGAAAAAAATAGTGATACCAATATAAGGCTTAAAATAGGAATTGCAGAATTTAACAAAATGGTTCAAAATGCACTTTCTTTTCTAAATAATGAGCCAGCATTTTACGTGTCTAGAAAGAGCTAGTCAATGAACTTGTTTTCACAAGTTATTTCACAAGACACAGAAACGGATTAACAAACAACTGTCCATTGGTAGTGAGGGCTATTTAGTTGAAATAACAGGAAGTGTAACATCTGTGAAAAATCTTATGTGGCTTGACTTGAATTTGTAATCATCCTGCCTCAGTTTCCCAAGTTCTAGTAATATAGATGTTTGCCACATGCCCAGTACCAGAAGTGTTTCCTGATAGAACTAAAGTTGCCTTCTGCGTGCCTCGTCCACCACTGTGGAGTCTATTTCTAGAAACTTAAGCTAAATAAAATCTTCACTCTATAATTTGCCTTGGTCATGTGTTTTACCACAGCAACAGGAAAAGTAGTTAATACAGACTCTTATTCCACTTAAGGCAATAGCCTATATAAGATTTAGAATTATACTGTAGCTATTGGCCTGGGGGAGAGGTGATAAATAATCATGGTTAACTCATTTTAGAAAACTGTGATCCTAATCCCATGGACAGTCACATGTAGTCTACCACACATATAGTCTACCATCTACAACTTGTCAATAATGAAGTTGCACTTAATTTCTGTCCTCCTGTTCTTAACTGTATTACTTTCATGTCCTTGGCTTTTCGGTTATGACATATTTTTCCACTCTCACAAAAACCAACCTACTTCAAAATAAATACATAAAGTGTCAGAGAAAACCAATATAAAAATGATAAAAACCCAATAAGTAAAATTTATTGTCAAATTTTCTAGTGAGTTCTTGCTGTCTTGAGGATAAGGCTTACTCACTCACTATATTAAGACTCTTTTGGGGTCTTTTATTTCTGTTTTTGGTGAAGTGAGATGAGGTAAATTTTTTCAATCATAATTTTCACAAGAAATTTAATTAGAAACCTGAAAGAATAAAGAAAGTCACATAGAATCCCAAGAGGTAGAACCTAAAATTATGTCAGGAATTTCTCTTTAGAACTTAAAATCATGTCTGGGCTCTCTCTCTAGTCATAGGAAACTTAACCTATGACTGACTTTAGTGGAGCAACAAACTCTCACTTTTCCCTCTGTTTGTTCTCATTATGGAAAGCATCCATCATTCACAGTCTGGTAATCTCCTAGTTCTGTTCAAAAGCACATGAACTTGTTTTCACTGAACACTTCATTAGATTCAAAGACTATATTCTGACAAGGTAGGTGGTCAGCTACAACCATAATAACAGATGTCATTGCATAAGCATACAGCATGTGTCCACCCGCAGTCTTGGAGCAGCTAAGATACTGTCCAGAACAAGTGCCTTAACACAGACAGGCACGGAAACATAAAATCGTAAAATGTTCCCTCTGAATAAGTAGTGTGCTTAATCTGAAACTTGGCATTCAAGGCATATTCTAAAAGCAGATGAAATGAACTCTGAAATTTAAAATAAGAGGTATGGTTACCTTTTCTTCTCTGCAAATGAGGACTTTCTGATGCTCTTAGAGATGGGCTGTCTGTCCTTTATTTAGGTACTTGTCCTTGTCTACTTCCTGGCTGTATAGACTTCTCATTCCTGAGAAATCCAAGACTCAATAGAATTGAATAGTCAAGGAAAATCTCTGAGGTCTTTTGAGCCCTGGATCTTTAATTAAGGCCCAAACCCTAGCCAAACAAATGAGCAAAACACAAATGGATCCTGTTGAGTATTAAATCTTGTGGGAAGAAAATCCTAAGGGACTAATAAATGTTTATCAGCACCAACAAGCCAAACACTGACTACTGTGATAGAAGCAAGCAAAAAAAAAGATTAGAAGTTACTGTGGTTTGCATCTATAAAATATAAAAAATTGTGTCAGATTTTGGTTGTCAAACACAAGGGTTTCTTTTTAATGTTATAAATGTCCTCTTAGGATTTTATTATGTCCCATAAACAGCTCAAAATCCATGCAGGTAAAAATAATGTACAATTATCACTATTTTTTCCTTTATGGTGCTAGCAAACATTCAGGGTCTTGTACATATTACACAAGGGGTAATAACAAGCATACCATCTGCCTAGCATCAAAGAGTTTTAAAGATATCTTCCTGTTTAATCTGTTTTACACAGTTATGATAAATAATCTCTACCATTTATTCCCAGCTCCTAGTAGGGTAAAAAGTATACACACACACACACACATACACACACACACGCACACATATATATGTATGTATATATATTCACATATATATATAACTTATCACATTAAAATATACTATATATCACTTACTTAAACCCATAAACTACACAATATTATTACTTCATTGTTCAATGGCATCAAAGCTCAGAAACTGGAATCTCACAATCACATACACAATAACGAAGAACAAAGATGAAAATAAGTACAGGCATTATTGCCAAATTACCCTTGTTTGTGTAAGGAAACACTTATCAGCAAAATCTAGAAAATTTAATTAAATAGGAAATTGTTCTTCAACATAATGATAAAGACCATTCTTAAGAGGTTCGTAAGTGTCCAATTTATTATTTTCCAGATATAAAACATAATGCAAATAATCTAAGATTGTATGAATTATTAATGGATTTTGTTTATGCGCAATGCATGCATTTGATACAGAACTGCAGATAAAATGAAGGACCTCAGTTTGAAATGGATGGGCTAAGTATGTGTGTGCGTGTGAGTGTGTGTGTGTGTGTGTGTGTGTGTATGATTGCTTACAGACATAATTATTTTCTCACCTAGTGAATATTTACCTGTTGATAAATAACTTGGATGCAGCCTTATTTAAAATTGTTAGATTTCTAAATTGT